GGGAACCAAAGAGCATGGGCCAAAATGGAGCTGAGACCCACTTAGGGACAATAAGAGTGCCCATGGACCTACATACAAACAAATGCCTAATAACCCAGGGAACAAGGGACACTGGGGCAACGAGCTAGTTGTTCTCCCCTGCCCAGTCAAAACAAAAGGCATCCACCCCCTCCGAGTCAGGATTCCAGAAACGAGAAACGAATCTGGGTAATTTGTGGTTATGGGAATGGGCAAAACGATCTACAGAATGTGGACCCCAAATTTTGTCTACAAGGCGGACAAATTCAAACGAAACACCCCAGTCATCAAAGTCAACGATCCTAGCCTACTGATGGTATCCGCGTGCTCATGGAGAGACCTAGGAATCCAGTCCACCTGCAAATCAATATCATTTCGCTAAACTAGCTGAAAAATAGAGAGGGAAATTTTGTGTAAATCCCGCTTCATACTCCCGTTACGAATAATGGACGGAATGTTGCGGTTATCCGTAAACCATTAAACTGCGCACCCTGACAAAACTACGGAAAAACTAGAGAGAAATATAGCTGCAAAACATTTCATTAGCAGTCCACGGAAGATGACAAATAACACCCTTGTGGTCTTTAACAACACCGCAAACCCCTAGGTCACTAGCATCTGAATAAACAATGGAACGAGAACATGAAAAGTGACGCCCAAAGTGCCTCCCATGCAAACAGCGAAGTTCACTTTCCAGAAAAATAGCTCTTCTTTGACAGAATCGGACAAAGGAAACCTAGAGTCCCAACTAGGCTGAAGGACGATGGACATATGAATAAACTTTGTCATCAATGTTGTAACATTACCTACAGCTAGTTTAAAGGAATTAATACGACCAGCAAGAGCAGACAGTTCCCTGGCGGTGCAACAATTAGCCTCTAAAACGGAATCAATGTCAGAAAGAACCCGCTTGAGCTTTATCCCCGGAACAAAGGCAAACCCTGAAAAGATCAATGGTGAAAACCAACCAATCAAGGACTGATGTAGGAACTCAAACAGATTTCTCAAGGTAGGGTACAAAGCCAGAACGAACCAAATCAGTCTTAACCCTGGTGGAATGGGCAAAAGCAACCTGATATGAAGGCCCCTCCCCTAAACCATCGTCAAGATAAACAACAATGTGAATACCATCCCGCCTCCAGTAGGCAACAAGAGGCCTAAAAATCTTTGTGAAAACAAAAGGGGCTGAACAGAGGCCGAAGGGCAGGACCCTGACACAAAACTAACGGACCTTACTCTGGTAAAACCAGGAAAAACCCAAAATGTCTGGTGGGGTGGGAAGATAACCACATGATGATAACCTCTCTTAAGGACAAATGAAAACATGAAATGATCCTTGTCAAAATAATTCAGAGCAACCTTAAGATCCTCAAACTTGACCCTATGCTTCCAGACATGCTTATTTACAAACCTAAGGTCCAAGATCAACCTCTTCTTCCCAGATGACTGAACAGAAACGGAGAGAGGGTTGACGTTATGGGGCAGGACCTCCGATCCAAAAATGCGCTTGGTAACCAACAATTCGGAAATAGCTTCGTTAACAAAATCAGAATGCGCCAAAGCTGACTTATTATTACTAGAAAAACTAACAGGGGGTGTAGAGTGGAAAGGAATACGATAACCATGCTCGATCACATCTGGAATAAATTGACTGGCGCCTATACATTGTAGAACGCCAAAACTGAACATGGGATTTTAGCCTACCGGCTACAACGATAGTAAAACTACGACCCTGTTCATATTCAACAAAGTTCCTTAACTTATCTGTGTCCTCGAAGAGTGCACCAACATCCCAGTCCATCACGTACGTTTCCCAGGTTGGCTAGGTGAAAACTGCGCCTGAAGGACGGGGCACTGATTCCTGAAATGGCCGAAACTGCCACAAGCAAAGCAACTCCCAACACGCAAACCACGGTGAGCCTTACGCCAATTGACGGCACCGACAGGGTCGAAAAATTAGAACCTTCCTTTAACTCTTCCAAGGCCTTTTCAACTTGAGCCGAAGACGCCTGAAGGGCTGTCGAAGCAGACTGGACGTGTTCAAGAACTTCAGACTTAAGTAAGAACTGCTTCTCGTTGCCTTTTTTTTGAAATTTCGGAACACTAGCATTAACTGTCTTGAGCTTCTTCAGCGCAGCATCATGTTCTTGTGCAAGTTCTCTCTTTAAAGAAGATAAACCAGAACGAAACTCATCTTTGAGCTCAGAAATGCTTTGCGCGAGATCATCATCGAACGGCATTTTAAAATTTGATAGTTCGAGAGCTGAGGTGAATACATTACAACTGTCAAAACCTTATATACCTTGCAACAATAGAGTCAATTAACGCCATAGCGGCTCACGTGCGTTCGTTCCAATAGGAAAGTATTTACATTCTCTGTCACTGCCACTACGTTTAGCTCCGCCGAATGTAAATACATTAATTGCTGGGCCTCTTGTAGGCGAGGCAGTAGGTTTTCTTCAAGACTTCCTCCAAGCCTCACAAGCACTGAACAGAGCCATTCAACTCTGTATCTAGCAAAGTCAATGCTATGATCCACATCTCCACACTCAAGCTTGTTAAGAACATTAGCTAAAATGCTTCTCACATTCTGGGTTATCAATTCAAGCGGGGACTGATGTTGGCCTTCGTGAGCCATTTTCCCACACGTGTGACTCGATTTTCAATTGTACGTCATGTAATCATAAGTCGCATGTCTCCACACTAACACGAGATCGAGGTTTAGCCTTCCTCGCTTCACCGCTGACCAAATGGTGACTACGGCCGAACGATAGTTACGATCCGATGGAATGCTGTTTCCACGGAGGTACGGATAAATGTGAAATACCAGAGAGGAATAAACCAATGTCATATAGCTAGCGACAAAATAATAGAAGTACGATCGAATGGAAGAAAGGTACGATCCAATGGAATGAAAGTACGATCGAATGGAATAGAAGTACGATCGAATGGAAGAAAGGTACGATCCAATGGAATGAAAGTACGATCAAATGAAATGGAAGTACAATTGAATGGAAGAAAGGTACGATCCAATGGAATACGGACACGATCCAATGAAATGCAAGTCGCGATTAGATTGCATTTTTGTCCAGAATGCCCCTCCATACAATTGTGTCACACGTTCAGGTATGCCAAGTGGTTTTACAATAAAACCATAGCTGTAGGCCTGGATTTTGTCAGTCACAAGTGAAAGTTCTTCAATTCTATTACCAATTTCCTCGAAATTAGCTTTAATTGCAGTAATCTCTCTTGATATAGAGGTGCAGAAATATTCAGGTCTTAACACATTAATCCAAGAAATTCTAGGCTCTTTGATTGCTTTGACTCGTCTCCCACTGTGTTCTCAACTTTCACCTGGAAATTAACGCCTTAACCTGCGTAATGAGACTAATATTTTCTTTTTCAGTGGTTACTGGTATCCTTCTACTCACTAGAATAACTCAAAAGATGGAGAGACAAGAAAAACGTGTCTGCAGCATATGAACTAGCGCAGACCATTTTTTGTGGCATTTTCATGGACTATAAAGAAAGCCAGATAAATGGCATCATGTTATTGTATTGGGAACTTAGCCTTAGACAATTATCATTACCTTGAAGATCTGTAACTACCAGTGCCTCTCCTGTGTACTGTAAGGTCTAATGTGCAAACTCTAAGCACACCATGCCATCAAAAGTTTCAAGGCCATTCATCTTGGCGTTGCCATCGTTGATCAGATATTTCTTAAAGCTTCCTGTAAACACCTCCTTGTCCACAGCATTGTGTTGCAGAATCAAACACGATATAACTCGTAAGGAAATAGAGTAGATCATAAGCAAGTATTAAAATAACTGTGATTTCATATCTCAGTCTCTGGCGTGCAATTTTCTAATAAGCGTCACTTGAAATGAACGTTGAAAAACAAAATTTGATTAAATTTAAAAACAAACAGTTGTCTATGGTTGCTACCTTTAGAGACCACAGGAGTGCTGAAAATTGTTCAAATTTCATTGAACCAGCAACCATGAAAAAAGAACATCTCCATCCACTTTTTCTCTTTATTGCCACTAGTTATTCAATGTTGTTTAATTATTTGAGTGTATTTGAGTGTCCCATTGTTTTTGTAATTCACTTATCTGCAGCGCGTTCTGTTCATGTGACCTGTACGGGCTTGTTATTTTTTGCAGTTCACATTCTTAACTCCCACTTATGCGTGATACCTACACATCTTTAAATTGACAATGATTAACCTCTCAGGCCTATTTTTTACAATCTCCATGGTGTTTTGTTTTAACTGTTTTGCAAGATGCGAAACAATCATTTGGGTTAGCATTTGCTAGAAAGGCGGAATTCCACGCATCGAATAAGTCATTTTTAGAATTGGATACCAGCAAAACAAAAAAACAAGGAGGCTTAAGCATGACCTTCTAAGTCACAAGGCCCCTCAAGAACACCTAGCTAGCCCGTATGCAGGTGTACACCGCTCGTCTACTGTTACATACGTTCATGGCCATGTTCTGCAGACTGCCTCTTTCTCCTTTGCGTGCTCTTTAACTGCGGTTATGTACTCTCTTAACACTATGTCATCCCCCAATTTGAAACCAGCAAAAAGAGGATTCTTATTTTCAGTTCTGAGTTATGCACAGTAAGTTTTGTTAATGCCACCAGACCCGGGCTCTTGGTCAGAATCCCTCTCCACAACTAAAACTCTTAAAGCGTTCAATGCCTCAGTTGTGACATCAAATGTCATTACCTTGTTTCGATTTCTAAAGGGAATTCTAGTAAGCTCAAATGACTATTTATGAGACTAAATCAGAATGCAACAGAAATTTCTAAAAAATGGCTATCTGGTCAAACCGTCATGAGTTTTAAACCTTCACCATTAACAAAGTAAAAGAACAACTTTAAGGTCCCACTTTATATTTTTATATAATTGGTCGATTTCCCTTGTGAGTTTGGTATGCCACCTGTCTTTGGGTAAATGCCCTTTTCCCATTGAAGCAATTGTTCTTTCCTTAGGTCTTCCATGTCTACGTGTAATGCGGTAAACAAAGCTTGTTACGAGCATCCAATTGGACAGAACCAAAAAACTGAAACTAGTAGAACCTGTGGCCGTTTATTCCAGTTTCATAGATCAATAAATTTAGAACTTAAATACTAGCAACCATTTACAACCCACTTTCTGTCAAGATTTGAAGGTTTACTGTGATCATTCATGGTGAAATGGCGCCAAATAGCCTGCCAGACACTGGAAAAATTGTTCCGACCAACACAATGTTTTTTTGTCCTTTGGGGTTTTGTTTTTTGGCTTGTGTGACTTTTGCATACCTTGTCTCCTTGTGCAGCTGCCTAAATCAGGGCCCCAAAGGGCAGTGGCCGGAGCCCAGGAGCCCTAAAATTTTTTCCGTTGAGCCTTCAGCCCCATCACTTCATTGCTTGGAGCCCTAATATTATTTTACTGTAGAGCCTGGAACTCTCAAAACGTTTCCTGCAGAGCCCGTAGCCCCAAATATTAAAATTCGGACATACTTGCACAAAGATAGCGTCATAATGTGCTTTGTTTGTTGTTTGTTTGCTGGGAATCGGAATGAGGATAGTAAAAAATCAGTCAACTAGACTGAGGCTAACAAACCTTCATTCTTTTCACTGTAATGATGCTATTCTGGGCTTGCACTGCTTTCCACACTAGGGACTTTAAGCAACGAGGATGGAGACGGTGACGGGGACCGCAGGCTCTCAGGGAAAATCCAAATAATCATCTGCGCATGACTGGCAGGAAAAAGTTTGACGTTCTGCATTCGGCCCAAAGTGAATAGAGTCACTTTGATGTTGGCTGAAAACATGAGTATTCTTTTTTGCCTTCTCTGCTATCTTAACGTTGAATATTCCCGGGAGACAATTTAAAATAACTTTCATCGCTTTTTTTTCTTTCATAAAGTGAGATTATTCTTCAATTTGATGGCTTGTTTTTAAACAGAAACGTCAAGATGCTGATCGAGACGAACATGTGAGTAAGAAATGTAATGTAAATAAGCTTGGCTCACACTGATACCAGTCGAAAATTCGCCACTCAGATCACTCAAAAGTCAAACAGTTTGACAAAGAAGATATTCTTAACAGATTTAAAAGGGCACAGCACTACAACTTATGTAGCCGTTTTGGCTTTTTTATCTGCCAGCACAATTTTGGAGAATTTTGTTGCATCAGTCGACAAACACCTACTGAGAATATTTTCTTTCAATTTACTTTGTAGGATTATGAAATACTGTATGTTTAGGTTATATAACGTATTTTTGGGTTCAACATCACAACGGCAGAGCCTCTTTTGAATGCGAATCCAGTGGCTCGTTTAACTCGACAATCTGCATTAAGGGCAACAAAAACTGAAAAATTTTTGACTGTGTAACGTTTGTAATTATGTTCGAGATTGTGAAGGTGAAAATAATCCAATGCGCTTTTAAAATAAAGAAAAAATATCTTGACGTTTCGAGGCTTCAGCCGCATTATGATCAGCGGATGATAGCATTTAATTAACTAGTGTGCATTTTTATAGAAAGCGACAATTGAAAAAAAGGTTATACAATTCTATTATGTAGGTTTCGTGGCTCGTTTTCAGTGTGAATTAAACCAGCTGAACTGGTTATTAAACCATGAAAAGTTGCCCTGTATTCTGCAGGTTATTATTGTTTCTAAAGTTGAAAGGTGACCCCATGATAAGTGTTTTGTACTAGGAGTTGAATCTACTTTGTTTATGTTTAAGGTCGACTACTCCACTGTACTGGACGAAAGATCATGATCTTCTTTTAGTGAGAGAAGTGCTAACTGTTGATCCGTATAGCCAGCCAAAGGGAAGTAGGGAGAGAGGGAACTGTGGGAAGAAATTGCCTTAACCCTGAGTGCAGTGTCTGAGCCCCGTTTCTCGGTTTCTGTGAGGTCTGTAAGAGACCGTGTAAACCTGGTTCTAATAAAGAAACACAAAAGAAAGGTTGCAGAAGAAAGAAAGGCCAGCGGAATAGCAGTTGATGAGCCCTCAGAGTTTGATGCAGCAACTGAAGAAATATGTGAGAAAGCCGAGGCTGCAGAGAGAGAGAGAGAGCAGCAAATGATATCAGCGGGAAAAAAAGCCAAGGCAGAGAAAGAGAAAAGAACAAGCAGAGGATATGAGAGCCAAGGCTTTGGAGAAAGTTGGAGAAACAAGAAAAAGAGTGGTCGGTGATGATGTTAGTGAATAGCCCGAAAAAAGGAGAAAAAGGACAAGGAGATCTGGAACAGAGACCATAGTATATCTGAAGGAGAAGTCGGAAAAAGAATTCAAAATCAGGCGAGAAGAGTTAGAACTAAGGAAACAGGAGCAGTGTGCCCAAGTAAAGCGGCAAGAAGAAATGACACAGCAACTGATCCATCAACAGGAGCAGCAATAAACAATGTTTGCTAACCTCCAGCAGCAGCAACATCAGCAGCTTCAACAGCTAAGCCAGATGCAAATGACTATAATGGAGCAACAACAACAGAACCAGGCACCAGTGGCTGTGCTGCAAGAGCTTGCCAAGAAGAAGTAGACAATACAAACATGTTACGTTTAGTTGAAGTTGATATACTGAGTGTTTGTTGGGGTACAATTTTATCCTTGTTTTAATTTGTTGTTTTCTTTGTTTTACCCTCATTTTCATATGTTACCATAGACAGTGTTGAACCAAGGATAAAACTGAACGACAACATATACCTTTATCATGCTCAGAACAAAGCACCATTGTTTGTTGTTCTTTATTGGGTTGAGATAATAAATTACAGAGTTCATATTCAAAAGTAAGCATTTGGAAGGACCATAGCAATATACCCTGGTGTGCCAGTCTTCTATGGTTATTCAAACTGGTATATAATTACATCAGTGATCTCTGCATAGTCCATGGGCCAATCGAGATTTTGGTACCAACTCGAAGGACAAAGGATGATTGCTGCGAATTGATAGCACATAAGGTGGAGACTGAAAATTTGTATGATAACCTTTCTGTAGGAGTAGCTTTCAGGGTATTTTTTTTTCATGTAAAAGTGCTCGAAATGACCTTTGAGATACCAACCAGGCCACCTAAATGTGCACTTAATATGTTCTATATGTTTTGTAGTTTAATTTATTATGAGAGACATGAGAAGTTTTTTTGTTGCGTTTTTTGTCGCCAAAATATGAATTGTTCTGAATTTAACCAAAGTAGAGCGAGGAAAACTCCAAAAAAGCCTTTGAATAGCATTATGAATAAAATCCAAAATGGCGGCTACCATGGAAGGTGAGTAGGTTCTTGATTTGCCGGATTAATAGCCATTTTACCGTGAAAAACGCAATAATTTCACGAAAAGTCAGCAAAATCATCTAGTTAATAAGGCGCTTAAACTTTTTGAGGCAAAAGTCTTTGAAGGTTTGACTTAATAAGCAGAATTTAGGAAATACTTACAGATCTTGTAGAATGGTCACTTCGATAATCCGATAGAAATTGAATGTATAATTTTTGCTCATATCGATCATACACATCTTTAATATATTTATAAATTTTGAAATATAATCTTATTGTAGGAATCAACCTGTTGCAGTCAACATTATTTGAATTATCGGTTATTCGGTAATGAAAATTCCATATGATATGCCATTTTTAATGCATACATGCATATGGTTTCTTTAAACACGCTAAAATCATCAGTCTAAAAAAGTTAAGTGAAGTAAAAAGGATATAAAGACTACACATACCTGAATGGCTTACATGATTACTGTGTGCCGGGAATCAGAAAACTAGAGAGCTAACAGGTTTATTTCCATTTTGAATTGACTTAGCGATGTTATTCTTCGTATGTTTTTTGTGGTAACTTATTCCAAATCGTGGCACCACTATGGTGAAAAAAAAAACTTTTGGAACTCCAGAGTGTCGTAAATGATAATATAACGTATGTGCTGTTATGTCCCCATCTCAGTTGCAGTTGCACTGCAACTTAAACGCTGAAAAAATATTAGTCTGATACAAATAGGGTCCTCATCTAAGAGAAATGTTGATGATGCTGAGGAGTCAAATGCCGCAGTCAAGCGATTCTGCAAGAAGAAATGTATCATTCACTGCACCGACGATAGCAGTGATTTAGTTAATCCTAAAGACGAGGAGTCATGGAAAACCTTGCTACGAGCAGTACAGATTCAAAATCATCAAGAAATCGTAGTAGTAGAACTTTCGAAGTCTTTAAGCAAAGGAGAAGTTCCGCTCATTTACTACCATCGAAAGTGTCGAACCATTTTTACAATGAAAAAGTTATTAGATAAATTATCCCAGCAATCATCTGATAGCACTACTGGAAGGCATCATGTGAAACGTATGTGAAAATCATTGGAAATAGATGTGAAATCATTTGACTGTGTGAAAAGTTATGTGAAAGGATTTTCACTTTTTTCACACCCCTGTGAAATTAAGGTTACCATGTGAAATCACATGTGAAGTAGCATGATTAAACTTTGTGTCACAAGGGATTATGTGAAATACCATGTGATTGTTCATTCTGGAGTTTTTTTATGCACTTCATATGTGAAAACCCACGTGAAGGCAAAAATATACTTTTGTGGAGAAGAACAGTATGTGAAATAACCAGTGAAACTAAAAGTTATTTTGGTGATGAATAACATTTATTTACACTGGCTATATATATGCAATGGTGTATACATGCATGTGCATCCGCTAGATAGCACATAATTTTTTTATTATACTATAAAATTGTACATTACCATTTCTTGATGAAAGTGAACAATTACAGCTGAACTTCCAAAGAAGCTAGGTTGTAAAGTACTGTACACTGTAGTTGAAACAATTTGCTAATAAAAAGGTAATTAGCAATAGCGCAGCATTATACATTATAGTAGTAATACACTGATCAATTAATCCACCAATTACAAATAATAATGTAGTAAGAACTTGCTAGTCAAGCTGTTGACAAAACCGTAGAACTCTCTACCATCACTGAATCTTTTAGCTTTTCACTGCTGTAGTCCATCTGTTCATGCAGTTGACATAATGTGCATGCATATGGCACAGCACAAGAGCATATATTATTATAAAAGACACTGGCCTTGATGGGTTCATACTCTTTCAGAAGTCATTTACAGGAGAAGTGAACTGTGCTTTGACTTTATTTGTATGTCTTCTTTTCTGAATGGCTTGGAGAATAACATATAGCATCAAATGTGTATAATTTTTCCTTTTAACAGTTGATGATCCAAAGTTTGGCTGGATCCTCTTCATCTGAGGCAGTGATTTTTGGTGCAGACAAAGAGTCAAACAAAACTACCTTTTTGCTAACTCTTCTGTTAAAAGCATACCAGAGGCCACTGTCTATTTGTGCTTTGTGGCTGGATGTATATGCCTTGACAACAGCAAATTTGGCAACCATATTATTCTTATATGTACATGTCAAAAATGATTCAATTGCTCCAAAATATACATTGTTTGGTGACTTGCAAACAGCCACAATGCATGAAGACTTTTTAGCTGCAGCTGCATCCCACACAACTGTTTTCCCTGACATTGACTCCATTCTAAGCTCTTTAAAGGACCTTGTTACTGCAACTATCTCAGAGCCACCAAGCTCTTTTTCACTGTACTTCCGCAGGACTTGCCTTTCTTCATGGGCAAGATCTATGGGATCAATGACCTTACCTTGTTTGCTAATAACTGTTGGCTGGTGAGTACTCATACCAAGATGCATGGGCTTTGAAATTAGCTTCCCGTTCATTTTCATGAATTGACACCAATCAAACAACTGTGGATAAAACAAGCAGCTAAATTATTTTTGTTAAACATTACTGTTGTCATTGTTGTGAATAGACTAACTTGAAAAGGTTACCCTTTAAATTTTGTATAACAGGAGCTCAAAAAAGGGAAAAGTGTGTTGTTTGTTTCTGAAGAAACTCTAACAATCAAGGTACATTAACAAATTGAAAATCGTATCTTAAATGGAGGATTTTGGGACTTGGAAGGAATCATGGATTGCATAATATGGGAATTAATTTACACACTTTAAAATGCATGTCCACGTCCATTCAAACCAGCAGAAAAAACTTATCCTAGAAACCATGTTGGGGAAAGTGATGAGGCAACAATTTGTTGGAAACGGCAGCTACATTAAAGATGATGTCACCTTAACTTATTGGTTAAAAAACAGTTAAGTTGCAGTTTGTTTATTTGCCAGAAAGTATACTAAACATTGCCTATTACAACATATAAATAACTATGTAGAGGATGAATTACACATACTTCCTGGCAAGGAAACCCAAATTGAAACTATGCTTATAACTACAAACTTCCTTCCACCACAGTAAATTCAATAAAATATTGAATATTGAAATATAAGTTACAATAATAGCAAAGATCTTGTCTTACTTTGTAAGTCTGCATAACAGTTGTCTCAGGTTGGCTCCGATTAGTTACTCGCTTGCAGACCCAGCTATTAAATCGTTCGTACACATACATCCACATGCTATGCACTGGTCCATGTAGTTTAATACCATCCACAACATGATGAACCATATGCATGCTTATGTTCTGGAATGCACAAACAGACATACAGGATGAAATAACTTGATAACTTTATATTCCCCCACTTCTCTGTATGAATAGATAACTTTTTTTCCTGCTCCACAGGACTGTGGCAAGGCAGATCATAGATTGAAGCATTCTAAAGCAGTCTAGCTGTTGCCACAAAAGAAAAAGTGGCTAATATTAAGAATAATAATAATTAAAGTACTACATACAAGAGGCTTGATTTTCTGGGCATGGAGGTACCAAAGAACAAAGTCCAGATAATCAAAAGTATGAATATTTGTGATGTTTTCCCAGTTACTACTTTCATTTTCAAAACAACATTACTCATGATCAGTAGCACCGATCATAATATTGTAGGCACAGTTAATATTAGGCCAGCTTTAGCATTAACCAAAAGCATGGTCACGTACAATGTTGCCTGCAAGCTCTATACTATTTCAAAATATGAACTGCAAAAATCATATTGTGGCATCATTAATTTATTTTTAAAACTCACAAAAAAATATGGGAACAGAGAAACATTCCTGTAAAGTAAAAGAGGAAGATGCCACAAAAAAATGCGTGATTGAGATCTTGAAATACAAAGGGGTTTGTGAAATATGGGTAACGCTGTCTGTTTGTACGCTAAAGAAATGCCTAGGCTTCCGAGAAAATCAATAAAAGCCAATATCACACTTGGAGCTTAATTAATTGTTCTATTAAAGATAAACACATCGCAAAACTATTCCATTACCTTAAATTGAAGGTAGAAACTGTTAAAAACTGCTTAGGTGTTTATAAATGCTTTCATGAATGCACTGTTTTAATAGCAAACTACAATATTATTTTTATCCTCCCCCCTGCAAATGCAACTTTTCCAGACAAACATGAACACTTATGGGGTAGTCTCTTTCTACAAGTGCCAGGGTAACATTAACTTCCTCTTCTAAATTGGGAAG